TCTGATAGCGAGATATGCTCCCCTACCTTTCGCTGCATCGGTTTCCCTCTGATCCGTAGGGTAGCAACCTGTAAGAGTCCCTTGTCGAGGGATACGGACAGAAAATCTGAGGAATCACCTGACCATGGTCTGGTACGGTCATTAACAGTCTTCGAGGGTGACGTTCATGACGAGGCAAGATATCATCGTAGCGCAGAAGGAGGATCCGGAATTGAAAACTACGGGAATGGATTGACAAAGGAGTGAGCAAGAGATTTCCAGGCATTGCCAGCAAGAAAAGGATTACTGATTCTAATGGGACTCCATGTGCATTCGAGATGACTTACTCACTCGGAAATCGGAAAGCCCGGATGAAAGAACACACAAATTTCAGATGATCCTTCCAAAGACGTGTATTCCGAATATACTCGAACAGCTCCACGATGGTCGCACTGGAGGGCATTTTAGAAGGAATACAACTTTAGCGAGATTGCGTGTTAGGTACTATTCGGTCAATTGCCGCCAAGACGTGGAAGAGAGGTGTGAGCGCTGTGAACTGTGCTCTTCAAGAAAGGGTCCAAAGACAAGGCAAAGAGGAAGATTGAAGCAATATCTCAGTGGGTGCCCCTTCGAGAGAATCGCAATTGACATTCTGGGACCACTTCCTTTGATTACATCCGGTAACAAGTACCTTGTGATTGTGATGGACTATTTCTCCAAATGGCCTGAAGTAGTAGCCTTACCCAACCAAGAGGCTAATACGGTGGCAGAAGCCTTATTGCAGAATGTAATTGCCAGACACGGAATACCCCAGGAATGACAGTCGGATCAGGGCCGCAACTTCGAATCGGATTTATGGAAGGAAATGATGACTTTGTTGCGAATGGAGAAGACAAGAACCACTGCTTTTCACCCATAGTCCGATTGATTGGTCGAGAGGCATAATCGCATCATAAATAACTACCTCTCGATGTGTGTCTCCGAAAACCAAAGAGACTGGGATGAATTGGTTCGTCTTTTTCTATTGTCATACAGAAGCTCCCAACATGATGCGACAAGTTGAACACCATCCATGTTGTTAACTGGTCGAGAACTGAAGCTTCCGATAGATGTATTGTGTGGCATCCCATCCAAGGGGTACCTCTTTCAGAGTATGTGAATAATCTGAAAGATATACTGGAAATTGTACACAAATTTGCCAGATCCAAATTACAGCTCTCCAGCGACAGGATGTCTATCCCAAATTACAGAGACCATGGCAAGGACCTTACTTGGAAACCAAAAAGGTCAACGTTCCGGTGTAAAGAATCCAATCGTCACTCAGAAGCAAGCCTAAATTTGTACACATAGGAAGACTGAGTCCGTACGTGGGTCGTGATGTTACCTCTTGGAAAGTTGTTCGGGGCGAGCAACCTCAGGAAGGGAGTTGTGTTGTAAATCATTACCTAAAGAAAATAATGCTGTGACGTGGTCAAGACCCTGAGCATTCTCGATTATTCTAGTCTTCGCACTGACTTCGATGGAATCCCGGCGATTATTCCACCGGCTTCGATGGATTTCTGAGGAATTCTCCACCGGTTTTGCATATGAACGCTACCTACAAGCATAGCGATGTAGTCGAGTTTCACAGACAGTGCGGTGCAAAGAGATCTTATAAAGCGATAGCTAACTAAGAAGTCTAACTTAGTCTTGAGCTAACGTCTCTTCATTTTTTTATTAAACTACTGATTTCAAAAAATGAAATGTGATTAATATATGATGGTTCATCAGCTCACTTCAATCTTTTAGTCTTGAAATATCTTTCAAATTCACCCTAATTGGTGGATATCCAGAGGAGAAATCTCAAGTCATTGGTGTTTAAAGCACCAGTGCAAGACGTAGAGAACCTAATTTGAAAACATCGCCTTTCACAACCGGAGTCTTGATTGAAGAGAAGAAAATCCGTGCTAGCAGCCGTAGTCAAGTGGAACAATTAGTACCAAACATTTCGTCTACTATTGCGTCTACTATTGCAGTATATGCGTTGACTGCGAGAATGGAGTTTATATCTCGAAGTCACGGCAACGACAAAGTTTCTGGAACTCTTTTTATGATTGCAATGGTAATAGGGATCGAAGTACTTACGGCTAGGTTTTTTCAATATGAACGAGTGAATTAAAATATTCAAATTTCTGTACAACTGATAAAATATTTTCCTTTCTGCATTCGTTTTCTGATGTTTCATACCCTTCCTCTTTCAACTATTATTCGAACCAAATGATAGTTATAATATTTCATCTTTGGAAATAATATTTGGTAGTATTTCATCAGTTCGGACTTCCATTGTCTAATATAATGTAAATTGATTTGAAATCCCTGAAATCTGTAAAAAATTAAAAAGGTTAACAGAAAAATAACAATTTTATTAAACAACAAAACTGAAATTACAAAAAAATAAGCTGAAATCAACCACAACGAGGAACACCGGTTCAGGAGAAAATTCAAAGAAGCCGCGTATATGTTGTCCAACAACGCATTTAGTCAAGCCAGCGTAGAGATACGTAACATATGGAAACCTCCAATCGAGCTGAAAACTACCAACCCCCGTCAAACGGTCATCTCTCGCCAAAACCAATGAAGTGGAGAGAGGCAAGAGGGGATAGGTGGAAGCACTAACTATAAATAGTCAGATCTCGGAGGAATAAGTCCAGTTATCATCCGAAGACGATTGTGGATACTAACAATCGAAACGTCGTGACGTAACTTGGTTTGGAATCTTTTAATTAATTTATTATTTTTAATTTTTTGTTAATAATATTTTTTAATTTTCAACTTGTCTTAATATTTCAATTTTTATGTTTTTTCGGTTGTTACTTGTATGTTATTTCTTTGTAATTTCAGTTTTTTTTTTGTTAAATAAAATTTTTATTTTTCGGTTAACCTTTTTAATTTCAAACAGATTCTTTCAGGGATTTCAAATTAATTTATATTATATCAGAATGGAAGTCCGAACTGATGAAATACACCACGAATTCCTAATTAAAACTGAAAGAAACATCGTTCAATAATGAATGAAATGCTATTGATGAAATATCCCACGTTAGTTTTTATTTACAGAGTGATACGAGTGATTGTAGTTCAAGAGCTGTTCTATACCAGACAGTCAGATTACAGAAAAATAGTAGAATATGCAAGCCATAAGTTACTTCATCGTGAAATGTGATATTCTGTTACGGAGAAAGTAACTGAGTATCCTTTTTGTCTATTTGATGGGGAAAGAGAGTAATAAGAACAGATTACCGTTGAAAACATGTTTCTTGCTGCCATGTCGAATTTCAGTGGATCTCAGCAATGCAGGAATTTACATTCCGTAACGAATATATTCCAGGTATCTAGAAATGCTGTAGAAGCAATTTTAGTGTTTTGAATATTAAAGACTGACAGAGTCGTGATCCTCGTTTCTGAAAATCATAGAACTGATTTAGGAGGATTCAGAATACAACAAACTTGTATTGCATAAGAATACCATTTACTTCCCTTAAGAAAATGAAAATGTATATGTATTTCATACTATCGACGTATATAAAATATAATGTGGTTTATAGAAAAATGCCTGTTGAAAAAAATCACATAAACAAGTTGAACAAGAATTACGGGCTTGTGATATGCTATGTGATATGCGAGAATCTTAAATCATCGTGTCTTATCGAAGCGATCATTCCAGATGAATTTGGGAAGCTCTAGTAGAATGTCATTATTTAAGCATTAAATCAATAGATATTCATATGTCATTGCGGAATTTTCCGTACAACCATAGATCCATATGTAGTGTATTGATTTGTTACCGATCCTACTCACTACTATTATGATAGGTAGTAAAACTATCTATAAATAAATATATAAGTAAATGTGAAAGTTTGTAAGGATGGATGTATATATGTGTGTGGCTCTGAACGGATTTAGATGAAACTGTACATGAATACATCTTATACATCAGAACAATACATAGGCTACAATTTACGAAGGTTTTGTGTGATTTCGGTCATAGTGAAACGATAAGTATTAAGTAAGTCGGAAAAATTCCTGCTTCCTGGGGGCTATCTTGGCGTTCGCTGCCTATACCATTGGAGTTACATGCGGATAATGTACCGTAAGATTGTTGATCTTGAATTAATAGTTCCAAATAAAAGTGCGCGACAGCATATATCTACCTGCTCGTCATCTTGATTTCTTTCAGGCTGGATCCTCTTATGTGGTAGTCACTATATGCAAAATACTGAACCATAAATACAATTAAATTGGAATTTTTTTTACAATGCACATTTCAGAATATCTATCAAATGCTCATTGAAATTGATACAATTGTCGTTTTAAGCATTCAATATAGATTAACGTTGTCCTCTGTACTAAGTAATTTTGACGAATCGTTTAAGAGTTATCATGATAAGATCAACTTGATTCAACGCAGTGAGCCATTACGCGTCGCGTCTACTGTAAGAAGACAGTGGATGATGAACGGGGGTAGAGTGTTGGTTCAATCAATGGAGCGCTATCCCTGAAAACTGAAATATACAGGAATATACAGCGTGCCTTATTGAAAAAAATGTTTTCCATTAATAACTATTGATATCTCATTTGAAAAATTAAGTTTTTTACACCATTGAATTCTACGTAAAAAGTGCTCTGGAAATAATTTTCACCGTAAAGTTTATCATGAAATTTGACAACCACTATTTTTCATCCATCTAGTTTGAAAACATGAGATTTTCTGTAAAATTTGGCCCACTCTGTACAATCACTTGAAGTATAATTCAAGGAAAACATCGAAGTTTTCCGCCACTGATAAATTGTCTAGATAAAAGAAGCAGCAAAGACAGCTCTCGATCTCATCATTCCGTCACTTGTCCAATTTACGCCGAGGATACAAAATTCCAACTTGTTGCTCGTCTCAACGCTTCAAATTAAAAATGAAAAATAACCATAGCGTGCGCTTGAGCGCTTAGAGATGTCAACAATAAATTCAATAAATCACTCTTACTCACGGGATATTCATCATACGTGACGCCTAGCTGATAGTCCGGATTTTCGTCCAGTGACCCAAACCCGATCTCAACCTTTTGATCGACGGGAAGACTCTCGACGAAGAAGAATAACACTACAATCAGATATACGCTGGTCATCTTTCCGGATTTTCAAAACATCTCAGAATCGACGAATCAACAAGTTTTGGAAAGTTTTTGGCGCGTAATTTGAGCACTGTTGTTGTAGGCCGTAATACGATAATATACTGTACGTGGAGTTGGCCAACGGAGCTTTTAAAGGGGCGTGTTCGTACGCAAACGCCACCGAGCAATGTTTTCTATTTTCATGGGGGTTCCCTTTATTGTTGCACTTACTGCCCACTTGGAGACATTTTTTTCTAGCGAGAAGAATTGCTGTTTTTCGACGGTACACGGTGACTGTAATTGAGATCTCTGATAGAAATTTAGTTCATGCTAAGTACTCCGTAATAGTAATAATAATGAGTTCACTCGTCAGACAGCACAGTACATACGGCTGTTATGTAATAAGTGTCCGATATTTTACAGAACGCTTCCTCAGTTATTTATAAGGTATATGGGTAGGTATAGCATTGCGTAAGAAATTTGCTCCGTCGGTTAACAGGATTTGATTTTCAAATAAAGGATTCCGTATAAGGCGTTGGAGAAACCAACGCAGAAGTTGATACGTAACGGAAAGTCATGATAGAGGAGTGCCTAAATTCTTTGAATATGGTAGATATAAAAATTTTCCATACCAGAACATGAGAAATATTAAACGTCTGCGCAATTTTTCTGGAACTTGTTTCCGGGTGTTCTCCTACCAGATTAAGGACACCTTCCTCTGTTGCTGGGGTTCTTACCGTTCGATGTGCACCCGAAAGAAGGCTGAAGCCTTCAAAAATGGTAAAAAGTTCAAAAAAATAATAGCAAGATGAAACCCATTAGAAAAGGAGGGGAATATGATGAAAATGAAAGGAAAAATAAATTACGGGCGATCTGAGTTTGGGAAGTGGGGGGGGGGTGAGTTTTGATGGGTAAATTTTTTTTTCTCGATTTCGGGCAAAACTACAAGTGCAATAAAAAAGTTGAATGGCAAAGTTGTAGGTATTGAAAAGGTCTACCACTTTTGTATTCACGATTTTTTCACATAACCTCAAAATTTATGAGAAAAATTCAAATAACCAAGTTTTTGGTTTTTTATTTCCATCTTTCAAAAAAAAATTCACGAAATTTGGTGGAAACTCACCATTTTATGTCTGTAACACACTGTAATTTATTTTATTTGAAATATTCATTTTTTCACCTTATTTTGACTCAACTTCAAAAAAGTACCCTAATTTTCAATCGAAAATTCTCGGGTCAAAATATCAGCTTTTTCAAAAAGTCGATGTGTTTTTGTTTGTTAAAATCTCTACTTTCTGATGGTGAGAAAAATTTACATTACTATAGTAAATGTTCTCAGAAAATGCAAAAAATCGAAAAAAAACTCGAATTCGATTTTTTTTCTAATCATTATGTACAAATTTAGGCTATTTATTAAAATTTACACTTCAATTATTCAAAAAACGTAAGGTTTCATGTTACATTGATAAACAACAAAATTGCAAATCGAAATATATTACCATAATTAACAAACAAATAAGTTAATATATCGTTGTGGAATTGGCCGCGGTGATAGTGCCCGACTCACGATCGGAAGGCCGTGGATTCGATTCCCGCCTCGACCAGATATTTTTCTCGAGATAATTCATCTGGTTGAAGCTGGGATGATTCTACAACCGTGTTAGGAATCACAAGTTGAAAGGTAAGACCTCGTTAGTCTTTAACTGGCACAAGTTTCTGAACTTCTGAGAGTTGTCGTTCGTATGGGGGCGACAGCTGATTAACGGAAAAACAGATTTTAAAGAGAATTTTAAACAGAATATGAGACACAATAATTAATAAGACATCTATAATATTTTGAGAAGGTTGTAGAACCTTCTTTAAATAATATTTGTAAATATGTATTTATTGCTGTTTAAAAGTAATGTATATACCTGAGTGACCTACGGAAAATTTTAGCCCATTGAAAGGTATTTCATAGAGAACTACAGAAGTGTAAAATTTAAAAGAGAAAACAAAATCTTGTCTCTAAAAACGGATCAATCTTCCGTTAAAGTAAACGAAGACATTATAGCCATCGATCCATTTTTGCTATTTCAAAGGATATCGTTAACGATCGACAGTAAAAAGATATGGAAACTTATTTACAATACGAGCTGAAACATTTTCCACTGTCACTTATCACAGAAAATGGCCTCAGGAAAAATGTAAAATCTTAACTTTACGAATTATTTGTAAGTGTGAATAGACCAACGCATTCGGATTTTTATTGCACAAAGTAATTTGGCAGAACATCGGTGGAAGAGATCATGAATAAACATTTGCGCTATGTAGAAAAACATTACACAGCAAGCAGCTATATTGACTTTGATGGGTAGGTACCCCAAAATAAAAAATCAGTTACTGTCACAACAGTACCAGCAGCTACTTCAACTAAAAGAGGAGAACGTAGTCGTAGAAAAACCTCAGAGAATATTCCATAGTTTGATTATCAAAACCATACAAAAATACCATTTTTCCAAAAAAATTATCTAACAAGAAAAACAAGGACAAAATAATGAAAACTTCAATGAAAAGAAAAGTCACAAGGGTTTTTCCTTGTGACTCGATAGAAATTTCCAGAGATACTAATAAAATTGTCATTATTGTGGGTCAAGATATTGATCTTTTTGTCCTTTCAATTCAATTGAATTCAAATAATCATGACATTTATTTTCTCAAACCAGGACATAGGACTTGTAGTTTTGCCGGAAATCAAGATAAACCATTTTTTACCCTCAAAAACTCACCTCCTCCCACTTCCTGAACTCAGATCACCCGTAATTTATTTTTCCTTCCATCTTTATTATATTTCCCCCCTTTTCTAATGGATTTTATCCTACTGTTATTTTTTTTTCTATAATTATCGATCCTGGTCTATTAACCAAGTGTGAATTCTTGAAAAGGTTTTTAGAGTAGGAATTATGCGGTTCGGATACAAACGTCTGATACAAACGTCTGGCCTCATATGCATTTCCGATAGCAAGTCCGTATGTGGAATGTATGTAAGAATACTCTACATATGGTAAGGTTTACCATTTTCAAGCAAATAATCATACTAATAACAAATAAAACTATTTAACTATGCGTCAAAATATTATTTTTGACATGACAGCAAAAAAACAAACATTGGAATAATCTTACTAGTCTTCTTGATACTTTTATTTTCAAAGAGTTCACGAATCAATGAGAAGACAATTGGATGCATCGATTAATTCAAATTAAAATATCTGGGACATGGCTGCTTCTAGCGATTTTTGACAAGCATACCTTTTTCACGTAAAAATAATAGAAGTATCGATTTTTCTTCTAGAAAATGATACATATTTGCACGACAAAGTTGTGACTCCCCAGAAGAGACCAAGACCTACCTCTTTTTTTCTCTTCAAAATTTACTCATGCTGACTATTATTTTCATTTCATCAGATAATTTATTGATAATTTCAATGCACATTCAGTGTAGGCATGTAGTCACGAACAGGGTAGTTGATATTTCTACTCCCAGGTTCTATTTGTGAGGAATGTAATTCACGATGAAAATCAATTCATTTCCAAAGACGAACATTCATAAATGTACATTGCATAAATGGTCAATATATTGTTCGATTGAAAGATACTCCTGCACGATTCCCCGTATTGCATGTTAATTATAATTCTAACAGTTTTTTTCTGGATAATGAATACTGTATCAATATACGAACTACTTCCCCAGAACAGGATTCCATATTTCGCAACTGCTTCAAAGTTTGCATGTTACATAGTTTTAATTCAATTGAGATGCCGAAATCTATCAAAAGTGTCCATGGCAAACAGGACTACATTTAGTTTTATGCATAATTTTTTTATAATACCGAACCAGCCCAAACATTCACTGATATAAACACCTAGAAATTTTGTACTGTAAGTTATATTTTCATCTTTATATTTCTATATTTGTGATTGAGGAAAGTTGTATCTATAGCTGCCTTGAACGAAACAGAATCGTGTTAGTTTTTGATTTATTAAGTATTAAATAATTACTTTGAAACCAACGCTTGGTACCAACTAACAGGTTACTTGTATTTATTATGTGAACAGGAAAATTATCTCCAGCTCATAAAAGGCTTGTTTCATCAGTATAATATTGAGTGTTTTCATCTAAGCAAAAGAACTCAAAACAATGATTTTTTTTAGTTTTTTTTCTGTGCGTTTGTGTGCAATAATCTCTGCACAACTGATTTGGGTCTATTGACAATTCTATTCTATTCATAATTCAAAAACTCAAGGCTATTTAAAAAACTGCGTCAAGCATCTATTGGAAAAATACTGTGAAAATACTGTTCGATTGATTCATTCGTAAATTTTTCATATATTCATCAACATTTTCATTCATGAGTTGCTTGTAAAATGGTGGGGCAGTGAATAAAAATGAAACAACTTTAAAAGAACTTGATAAAACCCTGCAGATTGTCGTGTTACTACAAAATGAAAATCTACCGGCTGATCTAAGCAAACTAATTTTTGACTCAATGTGGCTGCACATTTGAATATTGATCATGATCTGCTTTCATTTGTGATGCCCATTCTTGATATTGAATAGAATGCTCTGGGTATTGACAATATGAATATTAAAATGATGGCAATAGTTTTATATAATTTCATTGAGAAGGTGAAACATATTGTGACCGAATCATCAAACCACAAGATACGTCGAAAATACCACCTACATCATAAAAACAACACCTCAAACTTAATGAACGAATATGAAAAAGGAAAATTTCATCAATTCAGTTCAGCATTTCATTTAAATTTTTTTCTGACTCATTTGAAAATATTTGACGTTTCATAATTTGTTTGCTACTTTTTTTTTCTCTATTAGTCAATGTTCAGAGATTTCCAGTGCAACGTTTCGTTTCGTAAACATCAGTCACAATCTTGGTTTTTATACGGTTTGTAAAAAAGAACACCCTGTATCAAAAAGCCTTTTCATCGCGAATACAATGAAGTATGGCACAATATAATCGTACGTTATTCGAAACAAACTTTTTATTCAATTTGGAACGTTTCAGTGAAGTATAAGGTGGAACAATTGATGAG